GGGAGGGCTGGGGGTGTCTGATCAGGGTGACGGAACGTGTCCCTCTCCCGCTACCTGCCCGGACTTGCCTGGACATGCTGGGACTTGCCTGGCAGTGAGGTCACCCTTGTCAGTGTGCTCAGACTGCCCGGAGATAGGAAGCTGGATTTCTATTTTTACTCGGGGATGCTGAGTCTGAGCACAGGGTGCCCACGGGGGTGGCCCCAGGAACTGAACGTGGCCCCCCAGCCCCAGGCTGGGCACTCCCCACTGCCCAGCAGCACACCCTGCGGTGCCGTGCCGTAACGGGATCGTTGAATCATTGAGGTTGGGAAAGACCTCCAAGATCCTCGAGTCCAGCCACTGACCGATCCTCACCTGGTAAACTGGACCAGAGCTCTGAGTGCCACATCCAGTCGTTCCTTGCTTCAAGGAGTGGAATGTGGGGAAGACAGTGTGGCACAGGCAGTCCAGAATTTGGGGTGAAATCTTCCCTGCGGGAGGCTGAGAACTCACTTCATGGGGAAGTTTGGGGATGGGGAGGATCTTCTGTGGCCTGGCTTTGGAAGTCCCAGATTAGGTGGGAAATGGGAGCTATGAATCTTCTTTTTTAAAGCTGATTTAATGAGTGTGGCTGTCCCCACGGGGGCAAGCCTTAGCTCTGAAAACTCAAATCCCAGAGCAGTGCTGACTCTTATCAGCTGGACTCGATCTCAGAGGTGTTTTCCAACCTTAACAATTCTCATTCTGGTTCCTCATAAGTGGGGGTGTAGTGAGGGGGCCACTGTCCCCACACGTGTGTCAGGGGAAGGACTGCTTGGATGGGATGGATGGAAATGGGATGGAAAGGCTTTGTCATTTACTGGGAAGGTCAAGGCTTTTGGCACCGATTTGAAAAAAAACAAACAAGGTCTTGTTTCTGGTTACCCAAGAGCTCCTTGCAGATAAGGAGGGTGGTTAACAAAGTGGTCAAGCTTGTGGCATGTTCTTGCAGTTGCTTGAAGGTTTCCTTACCACCGGGTCTGGGTTCTTGAGATGAAGAAACTGGCCAGAAAAACATCCTGTTGCTTCACTTGCCCGTGTGCCAACTTGCCCTTGCCTGCATGGAAGTGGGAATAAGCAGGTTGGGCAGTGTCTGGGGACCAGGGGAGCATCATTCTGGTGTGGCTCTGAGGAGTGTTGTGAGTGGGGCCTGTGGCAGCATGAGGTGCTGGATGCTCTGACCTGGCAGGGCTTTGCCTGCTGGAGGAGGAATAGGGAATGTCGACATCTGCACCTTCCCCACCCTCCTGTGTTGCACTGGGCTGTGTCTGACCTCAGCCGTGCTCAAGCCTCTGCTAAAATCTCCAAAGTCAGAGTCGAGATGTCAGTCCCCTCGGGGCTGCCTCAGTGAAGACCCAGCCCAGCTCATCCCACCTTGGCTACCATGTGCTTTGCCCTGGTAGCCAACACTCTCCTGTTTTTGCTCTTGCCCTCCCAACCCCTGTAACTGGCTCTGGTTTCCCCGCAGCCGCCACGATGCCGCTGTCCCAGAGCAGGGCTGGGCAGACCCCATGCAGCAGCAAGGTGTGCAGGAACCTCTTTGGCCCTGTGGACCACGAGCAGCTCCAGCATGACTTTGAGGACAAGATAAGACAGCAGCTGGAAGAAGCTCAGCAGCGCTGGAACTTCGACTTTGAGACGGAGACTCCCTTGGAAGGGCCGTTCAAGTGGGAGAGGATCCTCGTGGCTGAGCAGCCGCCCCAGGGGGTTCACAGCCTGGTCAGGGCTGTCACCAGCAGTGACAACAGGAGCTCCTTGGCCCACAGGGTCCCCCCCAAGGACCATGTTGGCAGGATTTGCCCTGAGGAGTCTCAACAGAGCTCGAAGGCTTACAAGGCTGGTTCCTCGCAGAGTTTGAAACGTGGGCAGACCACGATCAAAGGTGAGCGCTGGGGCTGGTGTCACTCCCTGGGGGCTTGGTGGCACTGATGTCATGGCAGGGACAGACAGAGGGGACTTGGGTACCAGAGCCCTGCCTGGTTCTTGGGCATGGGGAGGGGTCCCACCCTCTGTGGATCTCTCCTAGGGAAGCAGAGCCCATCTGCCAAAGGGAAGGAGGCCAACAGCTGGGTGACTTTTGGATGCTGGGGTTTGTGCAGGGGTCTGGCATTGGGCCTTCGGGTTTTATAGCTGAAGATGCCCCCAAATTCATCATCTTCAATTCCAATGGCCTGACCCAACCACAGAGTCACAGAATATTCAGGGTTGGAATGGACCTTAAAGATCTTCTTTAAAGTCGCACGGGCACTGACCAGGTTGTTCAAAGCCTTTATCCAACCTGGCTTTGAACATTTCCATGGTTGGGGCATCTAGAACCTCTGTGAGCAGCCTGTGCCAGTGTCTCACCTCCCTCACAGTGAAAAATTTCTTCTATCCTCCATGGTCAGGGCCTGGAGTGGAATTGCACATGAGACAAGCAGAGATAATTCAGATTTACATCTCTGCTCTCCAGCAGCTTTGCATGGGGGCTTGAAGGTGAAATCCAGCTGGGCTGATTTTGGGGTGCCTTCCTGGGGACACGTCCTTCTTCCTGTCCTGCTGCTCCCAGCGGGCTGGGGACACTTTCCAACCCTTTCCCTCTTCCTTTCAGACTTCTACAGTGCCAAGCGGAGGATCGTCCCTGCGCGGCCCCGGCCGTGACTCGCTGGGGCAGCTGCCGACGCCGGGGGGATGTGGCTCCCCCAGCCTGTGCTGTGCTATCTGTACAAAGCGATGTAGAGTCTTTAGTTCCCTATTTATGAGTAGCTCTGGGGTCCTGAGGGACCTTCACTGTGTGCAATGTAGAGGAGGAGCCCCACGATGGGGCTGGAGGAGGACTGAGATGGGCCTGGTGGGATAAAGGCACTGCCCTGCCTGCAGAAAGTGTCCTCTGCCCTGTGCCTGTGGGTCCAAACACCGTCCTTGTGCCATCCTGCTGCCTAGCTGTGCTCCATCCCCTGCCTAGGGGCTGGTCCTAGGGGGACACTTGTGTTCCAACCACCTGGTGGCACCAGATACCTTCAAGAAAAGTCACTGGTGTGGATTGTAGAGCCCTGGGACACCCTGGCTGCTGGCACATGCGGGTGGCCCTGTGCCCCAGCAGGACGGACCCGAGCAGTTGTCCGTGTGTGGGAGCAGGGTGATGTGGAGGCTGCTCCTTCCAGGGCTCTGGGGAGAGGAAGCTGTTCCCTGGACAGCCCTTCCTTGGAGTGACTCACCAGGAACAGCCACCAGGGGACCAGCACTGCCCCTGGGAGACTTTGGGATCCTCTGCACTCTGCTGGCCCCAAACCCCACTTATTGTTGGCTTCTTGTGTGGTGCTGCCTATGCCCACATCCCTGCCTCCCTCAACACTGACACCAGGCTGGGGAGCCCCTGCTCTGGCTCTGTTTGGCTCCTCTAGGAAGAAGCCCTGCTCAGCAGCAGGGATGATGTTGAAATAAGGAATTGTAGCTTATTTTCCTGGACTTTTTCTTCTTTGGGGCTGGTGGGGAGAGGACCTCACCTGGCGCTGCTCTGGCACCAGGGGATGGCCTGGAGCAGAGGCTGCTCAGTTCCAGCACTGAAGGATGAGTCTCGGCACTTTCATGGGGTTCATCTCCTGCTCTGCTGGATTTGGACTCGGGAAATTGGTGCAAGATGGTCCCAGGAAGGAAAGGGACAGGGTTGATCTCCCACCTTGCACCACGATGCACTTTGCTGTCGGTGAAGCTGCCAAGCTCCCAGCACTAAATGTTTATTTATATTTAAAATAATGCTATTAAGTGTATGTGGGGAAAGGGGAAATACCTGTTTGTCTGGAAGTGTTAACTCTGAATAAACAGCTGTGCAAAGGATTTCTGTGTTAATGAGGATGATTGGGAGCAGGGGCTGGCTGGGGAGGAGGGTGTTCCAGGGGCTGGGGATCCCTCTGTGGGGGCTAAGAGGGATAAATCCTTGCCACAACCTCTGTGCTTGACCCCATTCCCTGGTGACAGTGGCTGGTGTCACCTGTGTGGGATGGCCCTGCAGGCCCCCTGTTGTCCCCATCATTCCCCGTTCCCCTCTGGGACCCTGTCCCGTGGTGCCAGTGGCCAGTGGCCATGGGCAAGCTGCTCCCCTCCCTTGGCCCTTCAAAGGGGCCCACAAGGGTGACCCAGGCTGTGGGATGGGGGCACAGGAGCATGTGGTAGAAATGTGCATTTCCTGGGTGGGACTGAGATCCCCTGGGAGTCAGGGATGTCTCTGCCACTGGCTGCTTCCTTGGAGGACCCTGAGCAAGGCTTGGATGCAGACTCAGGGTTTGGTCAATGTGAGAAATGACCTGATTTGCAGAGGATCCAGATGAAAATAAAGTTGATGGCAATGAACAGCCTCCTGTCATTGTTCAGCTTAGGCTCCCTAAAGCATTTGCCTTTCTCTGGAGTGTGGGTGACATCCATGCAGGCCTGTGCCCCTTGACACACACTCAGCCTTTGAGCTGCTGCTGAGTCAAACCCTACAGATTTAGCCCCTGTAATCTTTCCCCTTACGTCAGTCCTTCCAAAGCCCCCTGGCTGCTGCCAGGAGCTCCCCTCTGCTGTCCCCTCCCATTTGCCAGGAGCAGTGACAATGAAGGAAATGAGAAATAGAAATGAGAAAGGAATCAGTGAAACCCCCTTGTCGGTGTTTGTGGCTCTGGGGAGAGGGAGCTGGGCACCAGGTCTTGAGCTCTGAGTCCCTGGGACGCTCCAGGACTGTGTCCCCAGCTTGGGGACACAAAACAGTGATGGGCTCCCTGCAGCTGGGGAATGGGTGGAAACCTCCCACTTTCAGCCCAGGCTGTGTTCTGCTGCTCCCAGCCCAGCCTCAGCACAGAGCAGGGATGATCAAACCCCCACAGAGGAAGGTTCAGGTGGTTCCCTTCCATTGTCCATGCTCAGTCCCCTTTCACTGACACCTTCCAGCATCTCATCAGGGCTGGATCTTACCTTCCCTCCTGAATCTTACCCTCCCTTTTGGATTTTACCCTCCCTCCTGTGTCTTACCCTCCCTCCTGGGCTGTGCCCTCCCATGGCTGCTTCTGGTCCCGGTGCTGGAAGCATGATGCCAGAGTCTTGCTGGGCAGAGGGCACAAATCAAGCTCTCCCAGGGATATTTAGGGTTTTCCCTTCAAAAGGGAAATTTTTCTCCTCAAATCTTTGGGGGAAGCAAAGCCAAATCCAGCCTTCTGTGTGCAGCAACAAACATTGCAGAGGGTTGCAGGACACGCTGAGGCCCCCAGCCCGACCGAAGGAATGCTTCAGTTTGGGGTAAGCAGAACCAGCTTTGCCCAGAGTGTGGAGAAGAAGCAGCCAAGCTTTTATCTGGCCCATAAATGCCCTGATGGAGTGGATGGACCCGAGCTCCGTTAGGTTAAACAGCAAACGAGCAGGGTGTGGCTGGTTCCCAGTGAGGGATTTCACCAGTTTAGGGTTGGGGCATCAGCTTCCACCCCCCAGCTCCTGCCCTGCGAGCCTGGGCTCAGATCTGCTCTGAGCCAGGGGATGTTAGTTTGAATTATGCCCTAGAGATACCAGTATTTCCTCCTGCCTGAGTTCTCTTCACATTTTGCAGCTAAAGGGCAGGAAAAATGCCTGTGGTCCATCTGATCCCTCAGGAAGCTGAGTGCTTGCAGCCCACGGGCAGGCAGTGGGTTTGCTGCTGGGTTTAAAGCCAAGTTTATAATTCTGGCAGGAGCCTTATAAAACCATCAGAGAACAGCACAGGGGGAAGATCTTCAAATTCTGGGGCAAAAGAACCTCCACAGGGGGGTATTTTCAGGTTGTTCTGTCTTTGGCAGGATGTTATAATCCAGGAGTTACAACTAATCTTGTATTTTGTGTTATTTGGAGTCTTAAAACAACATTTGCTGTTCATCTGCTGTTCTTCCCCCCACTCCAAACACACCCCAGCCCCAGACTATTGCAAACCAGGACAGGGTGGGGACTTTTCTGCCCTTCCCAATGGCACTGGCAGTGCCTTTGCAGAGCTGCCCTGGGATCCGAGGACTTTGGGGGCAGCGTGACCCTCTGATGGGTCCTTCCCACACCCCACTTGCAGCGCAGCAAACAGGAAATGTGTGAGCACCGGCAGTTGAGTGTCAGAACGGAAAGTGCCTTGAGTAAGAGAGACGAGAGCGGGGCCACGGGGCAGCTCGGGCACCCTCGGGGTGGGACCGGAGACCCCCTGGCCTGGGGAGCCCCTCGGCCTCGTGTGCTCCAACTGAGGATCCCTCTTGGCAAGTGGGGAGGGTAAGTCCTGCTGCCCTGGGGATAACTCAGGCATCACCTTAAGAAGTAGAAAAGGGAGGGAAATAAAAGGTTTTTCTTGCTGTTGGTGATCCAAAGGGGATTTTCCTGCTGCCTGTGAGGGACTGTGGCTGTCCCTTTCTGAGGGCTGGGAGCAGCACAGGGAGCTGTGGAGGGAGGACACTGAGAGCTGGTGATGCCATGGGGGGCCCTGCTTGGCTGGGGGGGGCATAATTC